TTCCCTGAGTATATAGTCTGTGACTGGTATATAGTCTGTGAATTTTAATCAGATCTATTTCTTCAAAGAACATGTGAGATGGCTCTTAAGAAAACCACTTTCATACAAGTATGGCCAATTCTGTTACCTTACCTTATCACAATGGATGGAATGATAACATTTATAAATAAAATATTGCCTTCTTTTGAAAGAGAAAGCTATTTATAAACACTGTGGGATAGGTTGCTGATCTTCGCCCCAGTAAATCTTTATAAGTCTGTATTTGAGTCCAAATTTGAACCAATCAATACCTCCCGCTGCTATTTAAAGTGCTGCCTGCTTCTCTGAGCAATGGATGAAGGAGAAAGAGATGAGGGAATTGCAGGAGCTACGCAAGGGGAGGTTAGAAAATGAGATTGGAGGAGCCGACTTTTAACTCTTGTGCAAACATCAACACGCTGCCTGCCGTGGGCTTGGCAAATGATGGGAAGAGGAGAGAGGAGTTTGCAATGGTTTTGTAGACCAGCAGTGATCCGCAGACCCAAAGCAATGCTGGATGAGGTGACCTGGCAGGATCACCTTGGGCCAGGTTTGCTATGATTTGCCACGGCATGGCAGCAAGGCAGAGGGAAAACTTGCCTTTCCCAGTTCCCTGCTACAGGGAGAAGGGAGAGCCAGCAGAGCTGGGATGCAACCAGCTTTGCACAGCCCTGGTTTGAAAGCGACGGTTCTTAAAAGGCTGTGTTACTGAAGATGGTGTGGCAATCTAGATAAAAACATTAACCAGCATGAATCAGTGAGTTTCAAAGGGGGTTTAACAGCAGACCTATTTTAACAATAAATATGTTTTACAAAAAAATATTTCACTTACCTCTGCCTGTGAAATGTTTGTTCTCTTCTCATCTTTTTCTAGGGGAGGAAAAGATACAGAAAGAGAAAAGTTAGTACAAAAGCATTTTTCAGTGCTAACCATTGCGACTCTGCCCTCAACTCTACAGCACTATTGTAAATAAGAAATTACCCTTCTGATTTACAGCTTTTCTTTCTCTTTTGTGTGCCTGAGAAAACCAGAGGCCCTGATTAGCATTTAGACATAAGCACTATGTCTAAAGCACTTAACTCCCATTTTTTGTCTGTGAATTAACAGCAAGTGATGGAGTGCCTTTAGCATCAGATCCTTTGACCAGGCTCGCAGCAGGGCTCTGTGCTCACTGGTGGCCGTCGGGATATGTGGCTGCCCTGCCCAGGGACTGCGCTTTCTTCTATGCTCAGAAAAGGCTTGGTTGCCAAATGGTGTGCAGCAAACTCATGAAGGGCTTTACTGGACTCAAATAATAATAAGCAGCTCACCTCAGTTAAGTTATTAATGTACCAATACTGGTACTGAAGAGCACATAACAGTAATACAAAAAATTAGTAAACCAAAACTGAACAAAGACTAATCTTTCATCTTAAAAGTTTCATGATATTACTGGACCTGTTTACTTTTGTTGCCTTAATTTGCTCTGGACTATAGGCATGGCAGAAATGGTCAATACAAGAGATTTCTAATGAAAATAGGCATCTCTGAGAACCTGTCTAAACAACTAAGTAAAATTGTATGAAACAGAGGAGAGTCAAGGATCTTCCTAACCATTGCATTTAACCAGTATTTGCATGAGATGATTAAATTATTTTTCTACTGTTGTCTTGATGCGGTTAATGGCCACAAAGTGTCTGTCTTCTGATGATGATTTCCCAAATATTTGACGAAGATCTTGTAGGATCTTTGATGCACAGTAGTTTGGAGCTCTAAAATAAAATGCCATTAAAAACAGAGACATCAATCTCTCACTGTACCAACGCCCCTTCTAAAATTTTCCACTTGCAGATATCACTTTGCAATTTCCACTGAGGTGTGGCAGATCTGTAACTGTATGTCTGAGGGAAGAATTAGGTCTAGGTAATATCATTTTATCTAACTTATTCTCTAGATATTGGCTGCTTGTGTTATCCTGTGTGTGAGGGGACAAGCCAGTCCAGGCAGACAGATTGCATTTTCTGTTGTATTCTTTATCATTGTATCTGTGCATCTTGCAAACATTAATTGACTTATTGGATTTTTTCAATGGATATATTTCCCATCACCTTTATATGAAAGACAGCCAAATGACTCATACTCAAGGTTAAAAAGTGTAGTTGAAAACAGTGCTGATTACTAAAACGTGGTCCCACAGATACAGAATTAGACAGGACAATGAGGAGGCCAGTTCCTGCCATTGACATTTGTATGAACTTTGGTAAGGTGACTAATCTCTTTCTTGACTTCCCTACCTGTAAATAAGTACAGCAGTGCCTATTTAAGTATAGCAGTGTCTATTCACCTTTGTAAAGCACTTTGGGGTATGAAGTTAGGCTGGCTACATGGGTGATTATTTATGTGCTTGCAGTCTGTCTTATTAGTTGTATACCAAAAAGACACGGACTTCAATGCTTCAATATTGGATTATTTTTTTTTTTTAGCTCAGGATCCTGGATTTAGTTTGGAGGCTGAAATTTGAATAAATCAGGAACTTTCAACAGAGAACAATGAAAAGTAAGTTATGTCCCTTTCCTTCCAGAAAGTCTAAACTTGCCCAGATTAAAAATACGTATTGTAAACGCAAGCTGGGGCTTGCATAAGGAACAACAACTGCAATCAGCAGCTTTGCCGGGTTTCAGGTCTTGTTCTTAAGGATGTGCACAACTCTAACCCTTTGGGCTTGCATATTTAGTGTTCTTCGTGGGGTGACATTAAACCTACCAGAACTGGAAAGTTTCCAGCCTTTCTTTTCACCCAGCAGCCCTTATATGACAGGCAACTTTGGGAACAAGAACTGGTCCTGCATGGAGTTAGAGAAATCATTCATATCCACAGGGCAAATAGGGCCAATGAATCTCATCAGACAACGTGGCAATTTAAGAATTACTTACAAAATCACACAAACAAACAGTTTTTCAAATCCAGTAAACAGAGATCAGAAATGAACTTAAAGGGGCAAAAGAGACAAACTTGAGGCAGCAGACATGAAGTGTTTCAAGTGAGTTGTGAGATGAAGGGAAAGGTAGACCTGGTTGGAGATGCAGTTTGGTCAGTGGTACATTTTGACATGCATTTATTTTTGAGGACAGAAAGACCATTGCATGCTTATTTTTGACAGGCATCTTGATGGATAAGACTCAATGGAGAGTATAGATTTTTAAGGAGAGGTGACAAGGAATGGGAACGAGGGAAGCTGAGATCGCTGAGTGCCATAGTCTGAGGCAGAGAGTAAAAAATAAACAAAAATTCTTTCTGTAGAGGAGGAGGAAAAGATGAAAGCCAACGGGGGCAGGGAAGGAAGATAGAAGTGCTTGTGTGTAGCTGAGGCAGTAATGAGAGACAGGGAGAGTGGGGTTGTAGCAGAAGTAAACGGGGGAATTTAGTGGTGACAGAGAGCAGAGCCGGAGTGCAGTGTGGGCTTGAGCTCCGTCAAGAGCTCTCTGCCTGGGGAAATACTTAGAGCCATCTTGTTCTAACTGAAGGATTATGCTAATAATTGTGTGAACATTCTTCCTTAGACAAATAGTGTTTTTCCAGTGTAAATTATAAAGCTTTGAAAACAGTCTAAATAAATTAATGAAAGCATGTTCTTATAACAGTCTTACTAAGAAAGTGTCTTTGTGAGAGTCAATGTGTGTAGGAATCAATGCTCTCACTACAACAGGTCAATTCTGGTATCAAAAGATTCCACGTAGAAAATGTCTGTGACAACAGAATTTATAATGAGAATGGAAGGTACAAGGTAAGAAAGAACATCATCACTTAGGTACTGCAAATCAGACATATCCACCTGTGGAAGTCAAACAAGCCACGCATTTCCCACCCTTAAATCCCTCTCAAATCCATTGAAAATTACAAGCTGAATTTCTTCACTGAACTCTTTGAGCATAAATTCCTCTTGAGAGCGGTCAGGAAATAATCAGAAACTAAATCACAAATATCAAACATCACTTGAATCACAGGAAAAAATGAAATCCCTGGTTTCTCAGGATCCTTTAGTTCCCATTGACTACTGTGCAGTCAGGATTCTGCTCACAAAAAATCATAGTTATACAGAACAAGAAATTTCCTTGTCATGTTTATAACTAGGCAATTATATCATGGAGAATGTGAATTCAAGTGGTCGGCTATTTCTCTCTTACATGAAACAAAAGCCAAGCTCTCAGTAGCTAACGTCTCCCTACAGGTTTGCTCTCCTTTTGGGGCCAGGAGGGAAGGAAACTTTTTAATGATGCTCCATTTTCCTCCCTCACAGATCGTAACATTGCTCACGGAACACAATACAACTGTGTTATATTCCAAATCTCAACATATCGTTTTTTTCCAGTTCAACTTATTCTTGGCTGCTCTAATTAGCTAACAGGAATCTAATTACTCAAGTCATTTCTTGACAGTTTTTGTGTTTTTGTTTTAAAGTGGTATAATAGAAATCATATGAACAGCTGAGCACAGATTTTTACGTACCTAAGTTACTGGAAAGTCAAGGTATGTAAAAATAAGATTGGAGCTTTGTTTAGAGGCTTTTAGGCCTGTGCTGAAGAAAAAGCAGTTGAGGACTTTCCCCTGTGCTGGGTGAATAATGTCTGAGGCTAGTGTGACCCTTACCTCACGCAGACTGGAGTAGCACCTGGCAAAATAAACAGGGTTTCAGGCTTTAGTCAGTGCCCTCAGGGACAGAAATGGTCCATGTTCATCAATGAAAGGTTCAATCTAAACGATATTTCCATCAGTCCAGATATGTACACAGACTTGCTGAAATGAAGCCTTATTTCTTCAAGAGAGACACTTCTGAAAGTTCATCTACCTGCACAGAGCCCATTTCAGTATTAGAGCTGAAAGCTTTAGTCTTTACCCAGGGCAAAATCTCACCCACTCACACGGAAACCTGCAAGATTTGGCCCAGCTATATTGCTAAAATATAGAGGAAGAAACACCAAGGGATTTGTCTCCCACACGCTCTTGTCAGCATAACTCTTTTAAATGTTTATTAGCACAGCCACCCAGCCAAGCTGCCATAATAAGCTGAGCTACCCCAAAGGTGTCATTATATGAGGTCAGAAATGAACCGAGTGGAGGGAGGCTGGTTATAGCCAGGATGGCAACCGCTTGACGTTGTTGATTGCTTTTCCTGTGAATCTCCACTGTTGTACAAATGGCATGACCATGCTGGGGAAAGCCTTATGGTCATTTTAGAGTAAGATCAAAATTCATCTGCCTCTCTTCTCCCACTGGATAATGTTAATGCACTTGGAGCAGCTATGCAGGGCAAGAGGTGACCTATTTTAAAAGACTTGGCCTCTGATATCACCCATAGGGTCTGCAGTGGAGTCATCCGGCAAAGGCTTATCTCATCCAGCTAAGTAACCTGCTTTCTCTCCCCTTGGCAAGAGCGAATAAAAGCTTTTTCTGTAGGATTTCAGTCAGGCACTGGAGGAACTGAACAGATCAGAGAGGTCGGCTTTTACACAAAAGAAACTCAGTAAGAGGCTGCTATAACTGTTGGAGAAAGCTTCATGTAGCGAGTTTGGAATTTTCCTTGGGAAAACAAAGCTGAGAAGTTTCTGATAAAAATCACAGGGGGGCAGGGCCGATAGGGCTTTGGATTTGGTTAGCTTTTGACATAGCGTCTAAATTTTCCCTTAAAAATAACACAATACTCTCTAATTGCTCAGATAGTGGAAATAGCCCATGAGCCACATGCCTATAATGGGTTTTAGTTAAAGAACAATTCGAACAAGAATGGTTTGAATCTGAAAGAAAGGAGCTTGAAGAGAGACTTTAAGGACACAATGCCACAGTCGGTCTGGAGCCTTCTTATAGTCCTGCCCCCACCCCTGTGTAAACAGTG